GTTGCCCTGGAACCGGGTCCCGGCCCGGGGGAGGAAGGGGAGGGGAGCTGGGACGCGAAGCCGAGGGCTCTCTGCGTGCGGCCCGGCGCAAACGCAGCCCGGCGCGGGTTTTGCCCGGTGCGCGGTGTTGGAAGTAGCGAGGAAGGCGCGTTGAGGCGCTCTGGCTGGGTAATTCCCTGGAAACTTAACTGTGAGGGAGCAGTTGCTTCCTCCGGGCCCTGAACTGACACGGCGACCTTGTGGCACGACCCACTGGGTATTTGCGGAGTATCGGACTGCTCACACAAGCACACACCCGCCTTCCAAAAAAAGTACAGCCCGAAAACATCAGTTCAACCAAGAAAGGACCTGTATCTGCGTGTGCTAAGGCAAAAGCCCGCCTGAGGCGTGGCAGGAGGGCTGCTGGACCACCGGTAGACCCTCGCATACAGAAATCAACACGCTGCAGTTCCCCGCTCCGTTCTAAAGCTGCGACTCTTACACACTGGATGCAGGGCGAGGGGTGATGAGTAAATAGTAAACCTGCCCAAGGACTAGCTGTGCCAAGTAGAGCAAATACCGTAGCGGAGCACCAGTCGTGCTGCAAAGATTGAACGCATTTTTCCACTCAAAGGCTGACATTTGTAAGCGCTCTCAAACCCTCAGCCTTTGTGTGAGTTACGAGCGCACGACCAGACGGGTTCAGCCGCAGCAGCTCCAGGCTTGAGGCACGGCAGCATTAACGTGCTTGAACTCGGCTCACTCCAGCTACAGGCCCCAGTGTGTTTCACGCCCATGTCATTTAGTCCGCTAATGGGGCGGGTTAAGAGCGCACACGCAGTTGGTAATGGCTTCAGCTGGTGAGCGGTGACGTCTGCGGTCACGTCCGTTAGATCATTTTCGTTTATGTGTCTATAGTACAAAATGGCTTTCAAATTTGGAGTGCTGTATGGCAGTAAGGAGGTTTGTTTCTGAAATTTTGTACACAAGGTTACTCGTGGGAAAAGGATTGTTCTTCTGCGGCTGTACGGTTCCTTAAATATCTAGGCAGGCTGTAGACATTTAAATGTAATCAAATTTTAATACCTCGCTACCAGATATTTCAACAGGAGCTGCTGGCAGCCCAGACGATGAACTGCTGGAGTGCTCAGTTTGCCGTACCCAGGTAACTTAAGCAGCCCATCTTCGCAACAAATATTTTGCTCCCCCGGGTTAGCAATTCATGAGTGCTCAGAAGAAGAGGATAGAGATTTGAGAACACCAGTTAAAAGTCTTGCATCAGAGGAGGATTTTCATGGACAATCTTGCAAGGAAATGCACGATCCTTTATTTGTGTGGATGTTTGTGTGAATATATGCCTCTGTCTCCTTGTCCACCCATCATTCCCGCAGTGACTTATGAATCTATCAGCCAGTTTCAAATACAACAGAACCAGACAAGGCTCGAAGATACAGAGTTCCTACAGATTTAAATAGGCAGCTGGGGAGAGGAGAGAGACCGACCCTATTGATTCCTGCCTGTAAAGGAAAGACTGCAGTGTGACTGCCTTTACTGAATACCAGAGAATGCACATAAATATTCACCCTTGGGGCAGAGATCTAGGAAAAAAAAAAAAAAAAGATTAAATCGGTCACATTTCCAGTGGAAGTCCTTGGTTTCAGTTATTGTGTGTATGGTGATGCCTACAAATTCATATCGTGTACTGCCCCTAATATTGAAATCTCAAGCTGTTAGAATATGGTTGATGTCCTCAGGCACAGGAGTTGTAAATTTTCATTTCATCCAACCTCATAAACTCTGTGAGGGGTTCGGTGGCAGGGCAGTTAAAAGGTGCCTTTCTATGGAGTCCATTGGTGGCAGAAAGACCACAATCACAGCAGAGACTTTCCTGGATCCATCTGTAAGCGGATATTCCATCCAAAGGCTGAAAGTCTGAACTACATCAACCTCTTGCATACCTACAGAAGCCAGCATGCCGTTATTTCGGTAGACAACTGAAATAGGTCTATTGACTGTACAAGCAGTATACAGGCTAGCCCAGCATGCACCAACATCTCTCAGACCTTCTGACAGATAACTGCCTTTTTTTTTTTAATGGCTATGCATATAGGCAAATAACAGCAATGTTTCCTGAACCATGGCTCACAGGAATCAATACCCATGCAATTTTCTGCGATGACTGAGGGCCACAAAGAAACACCATCACTTGATACAAAATGGTAGGGAAAATGACGTGTGGTATGTCCACAGCACATACGTGCGCTTAGACTTGTGGCCTATAAATCTGCAAAGATTCTGGGCTACTGTCCTACATGTTATCAGTGTTTATAAGGATGATTATTTTCAGTCATATTAAGTTTCTGACCTCAGAAACTCTTGGTCACAAGCTCCTTGGGTTCATGATGTGCTTCAGTGGAAAAGCATCCCATTCTTTCATGGTGTTGCTATTAAGTATGCCATTTATAAAAGGCATCAGCCTCTGGTGTTTTTGGTTTTTCCTAGCTCTTTAACTGTACATTTCTGACCGTCACTATACGCTGCTCATATGCTTTCAGCAAGTAGCTTTCAAACTCACCAACATCTTTTTCTGAGGCTCTCTATGAAACCCAGTTGAATGCAGTTTGTTTGAAGGATTTGTATGTTAAAAACCATAACAACTAGCAGGTAAAAGTAATATCATGTTAAAAATCCGCATCACAAACCATGGAACAGACAAAGAGAAATAATAAGATTATAGAGTATTAAAAAGCTGCCAACCATCTGCCTTCAAAGATTAAAACTTTCCATAAACTCCTCTATGTTCTCAGCCAAGTTCCTCCAACAAACCCGGGTTTGAAGTATTGGAGAAAACTGCCTTCTACATGCAATTTAAATATGAACCCACCCCACCCCCCAAATCACAAGACAGGATATAACTTATCATATGGAAATCATTGATCAAAAGAAGTATTTGATCTTAAAATGCTTCATACAAGCACAGCAAATTTGTTAGACCTTTGAAATTGTTTA